AGGCGGTGACTGGGAGCTTCACAGCTATAATTTTCGATTCGGTGGGTTGTCAGAACTGAAGCAGGTGGAAGAACCGCTGGATCATCTGCCAGCTTTATCATGGAGAGCAGAGGGTGAGGTTTCCTCTGTATTGTACTGTAATTGTCTCTGTCATTCTTGAAATCATGGTTCCGTATTAAGCTAATTGCGCTTTTTTTAATCTTTTAAAAAACAAAATTTCAAAATGCAATTTTTTGAATTCAAAATAAGACCAGGAACAGGTACTTAAAGGAATAATTCACCCAAAAATTTATATTTGCAGTAAATGTACTCACTCTCAGGCCATCCAAGATGTAGATGAGTGTGTTTTTTCATCGGAACAGATTTGGAGAAATTCAACATTACATCACTTGTTCACCAATGGATCCTCTGCAGTGAATGGGTGCCGTCAGAATGAGAGTCCAAACAGCTGATAAAAACATCACAATAATCCACAAGTAACCCACACAAGTCCATCAATTAACATATTGTGAAGCAAAAAACTGCATGTTTGTAAGAAACAAATCCATCATTAAGGTGTTTTAACTTTAAACTATCACTTCTGGCCAAAACAATTCATAATAACGCTTCCTTCATTGAAAAAGTCCATCTCCCTCTGTCCTCTCACATCAAAATCCACAGACATATATAAAAGCTGTTTTTGCTTGTAAACGGTGCTTGATCTGTACATTTTTCTCTTCTGATTCAGACAAGGTGATTTTTCTCTGGAGAAAGCATCATTATGTATAGAGTATCTTAACAGGAAGCAGCGGTTTCAAGTTTAAAACGTCTTAGTGATGGATTTGTCTCTTACAAACATGCATATTTTCACTTAACGAGATGTTAACTGATGAACTGGAGTCATGTGGATTACTTGCGGATTATTGTGGTGTTTTTATCAGCTGTTTGGACTCTCATTCTGACGGCACCCATTCACTGCAGAGGATCCATTGGTGAACAAGTGATGTAATGCTACATTTCTCCAAATCTGTTCTGATGAAGAAACAAACTCTATACATCTTGGGTGGCCTGAGGGTTAGTACATTTTTGCAAATTTAAATTTTTGGGTGAACTATTTCTTTAATACATGTTCCTGGTTTTATTTTCAATGATTCATCATCGGTGCACGTTGTTCCAAAAATAAAATGTTTGTCTGATCTTTAATCAGAATAATAACTTGTTCTACCACTGACGCAAGAATATCAATAATACCTGCGTGGAGTCGCCCTTGAAGTCCTCGACTTGCATCCTGCTATCATGTCTTATGAGCACTCAGAATCACAAACATTTTATTTTTCAGCCATCTGAGCCACAGATGACATCATAATAAGGCAAATTGACTGATGACACACCAAAAAACATTACCAGTTGTAGCTGTGATTTAAATGTTGTTTGCAAAAAAAAATTTCATTTTTATATGATATTCAATAAAGGCTGTCAAGGGCTGTCAAGATTTTTCATGATTTTTCATTATTTCTGATGGATGAAATCACATTCCACCTCACATTTTTTTAATAAGATATACTGTGGAATTACTTAAAAATATATCAGTTTCTAAAGTAAAATGGGTTGTGAATGCCATTTTTATATTAGAATTCAGTGATTTTAAGATAACAAGTACATGTATCGTTTTCATGCACTTTTTTTAATCATCTAAAGTTAATATCATATTGAAATAGCATTTATCATTTAAAGGGCAAATCAGTGAATTTTCCTTCCACTTTATAGGTCATTCCCATTCTCAGATTACAGATGAACCAAATTATTAATCCACAGCTCCTGATCAATAGCAATGCATGCATGAGCGTCACAGCAAGAGGGCAATCTTTTCTGAATTTCCCTTCTGAAGCCAACAGTCTAATTCTCCTCTAGATTAGCAGCGCTCTGATAAATTATGCTGTGTTATGGATACATTCCTGGTCCTTCAAGGTTATATAACATTCAATATGCAGTAGAAGAGTGAGAGACAACTAAATTCAGGTCAGGACACAGCAGGACGCTTTCCTTTTCATGTTTGATCCAGAGGGGTCACTTCTGCAAACTCATTAAGACAGAAATGCAAATGATCTTCTCTTTCACGATATTTCTCTTTTTTTTTTGAAGAAAAAAAGGCAATTATTGTGCCTACTTACTGTAAAAGAAAAATACTAGGCAAGAGCTGTGCCTTCAACGACCAGCATACATAGTGTAGATGTTTATGTCAAATTATGATTTCTGACAGACTAATGTCCAGCGATGACGCAATGCTCGGCTCTTAAATGATGTATAAACTGTGTACGTTTGCCTTTGAAGTCTCGCTGAAATGCAGGTAGTTGTACGTTCTTGTTCTTATGATCAGGTCAGATCTTTCATGTTAGGAAATACGGTGAATTGGACTTCTATTCTGATTACTGGCAGTAATATACTGTTTTGAGAGAAACAGAGCTGGATTCCTCTACAAAGACACTTGACTAAATTATATTAAAACTTGCATTTCAAATATTGCTGTTATCACTGTTCATAAACATTACATAAACACTTATTTAACGTAACTTATAATGCATTCAAGATATACATTTGATAAGTATGTGTGCATTTCAAGTCTGTGATTTGCCTGTATTGATGACAGAATTACAGCATTTTGTTTATGTATGCCCACATTTGATTAGGCCCACATTTTTACTGTTAAATTCATAAATGATTTATGGATTTAAAATTAAAAATTGTGTTCATTTTTAGGCTTTTAGGTGTTCAATTATATATATATATAATTTTTTTATTTGTAATATTTTTATTAGGTTTTTTTAAATATGCACAGTTCAAAAATGCATGTTTTGATCTTTCTGGCAGCCTTGATGTATTTAATATTCTCTATTCACAGTTATGTTATGTGTATGTGTGTATGTATGTATTTATTTATTTTAATTCAAAGCAGCAGTGCATTCATAGTATACATTTTAACGGTATATGTGCTTATAATCAATCTGTAGATTTGCCAGTACTAATTCTAGCTTCCAAAAATTAATCGGTCATCTGCTACTAAAACAATATTTATTTATTTAAATACAATAAAAAAAAATCTTGTCAGTGCAGACACATTCAATAATTGTCCAGAATCTGTTCTTTTAAAATAATAAATGTTTTGATCTTGCTGGCTCAGAACTGTGGCATGCCTTGATGTACTTTATATGGAGCCTTACATTTAAATGCATTAAAATAAATCCACAAGGTTTACAATAACAACACATCTGTCCTGCTATGCATACATTTCATTTTAAACCTGAAAGGTTCGATTGTTATCCCAGGAGCCAGTCTCAGTGAGTGAATGTGCGAGTGTGTGTGTATGTGTGTTTAAGGCTCAGTTTTCCGCTACACTCTGGAATGTGGCCAGGCCCGTCTCTCTCTTTCTCTCTCTCTCTCTTTTGAATCCACATTCGGCTTCCAAATCCAAAGCCTTTGATCTTTCTCGCTGTGTCTCCTTTACCCGGAAGAGAACCGTCGCTTTCCCTCTCAGCTGGGATGAAGGCGCGCGTGGAAATGTTGGCCCGTCTCCATCCTCACGCCATATATGGTCATATAAAGGCAGGGGATGAAAGAGGCCGCCGCCGCCAGATCAAAGGCAGCCACGGCTCCGCCCACTGACCCCACCTCCGCCTGCTTTATAAAGATCTGCCTCCTACTCCAAACTTATTCTCACGCAAGCCGCAGAAACACTTCCCAATGTGTTTCTTCCCCCTTCTTGCTTTCTGATACATTGAGGGAGGTCTCCTTTAATTTATCTGGTTTTGAGTATTTGAATCTTTCGAGCAGATTTTGTAGCTGCTTACATTTATGCGTAAGAATTTCATAGAATCTAGTTAATGTGATAATTTGACTAAATTGCTTAATTAAAACGTGTGTTTTTATGTTTTCAATTAAATACTGCTGATAATAAAATACGCCTCGTCAAATTTCAGGGCAATGTGCTTTATTTATGCAATATGCTTAATTTTTATGTATGTATTTGAACGTTATCTAAAGGTTACTCATATGCAATAGAAACAGTTCGTAATGTATTTCAATATTTTCGAGTTTAAATGTGACTTCTAAGATCAAGTGAAATTACATAAGCTATACAAAAACGTGGTATGTTTTATAGATAAGCTTAATTACATTAAACATTTCAATTTAGATTACCTTGAGACCAAAAGAAGCATTCAGGTCAACATCAAGTATGCATTAAATCGAGCAATATGCATGAAAAAAATGGACTAATATGATAACTGAGATGAAAACAACTTTTCTCAGTTGATCTTTTCAAACGGAATCTCATACAGCTGCATTAAATACTATTCATGCATTTCATGTCACCCTTTGCAATGTAATGCAGATCAGTGATTAAGCTCGTAGTAGGTTTTATTTCTCTTCACATTGGCATTTTATTATTACTCTTTTGTTGTTGTTGTTGTTGTTTTTCATTTATGTTTCTTTATTCAAATGATTATTTATTATGGTCGTTTAAAAAGTCTGCCTCAAATTTTATATAGTAATATTTGTCAGCTATTTTTCTACTGTTCAGTTTCACTATTTAGTACTGGTAACACTAATAGAAAAAAAAGCAATGTACATTGTGATTTGATTAAGTGGTAATCAAATGTAGTAGTTCAAAAATAATTATTAACAATCATATATTATATTATATTATAATCGTGCCCCCCACCATCACCATTCCCACCTTTCATTTGAATCAATTCAAAGAAGCAAGCGTGCAAACAAAAATACAAACACATAAAACATATCTAAAATCAATACAATTGTGTGCAATATTTGTGCTTCCATTGGAAGTACATTGGGAACAGTTTCAACCCTCCCGAATCTGGTCAGTCGTGACATTTCAAATTCAGCTTGACTGAACATTACATGTCAAATTTAACAAAAGAACCTTCTGATTCAGATGAAGCCAGTTTTGTTATTCAACATTTATGAATATGTTCCCAAATCAGATGTGTCCTGTAAAGCCTATATTTTAAACAGATTTCACTCCTGAAGCTCATTTCGAATTGGTTCAACTGACGGTGTCACGCCACTGTTTTCGTTTCCAACAGCCCCAAAATGAATCGGAAAACAGCACTGGTGTCTCCTACCTCCACATTTTGCGCTCTCTGTCCATTCGTTGGAAGCAATGTATAAAATCCCCTTTACTTTCCTCAGGAGCGTCAGTCAATGCGCGTGTGTGAGTGAGCTGTCAATCAAAGCGGCGGCTTCTCTTTCATCTCTACTGTCAGTCAGAGATCAGGAGGAGGAGTACAGCACTACTCTCTCTCCAGCCCAGCATTACTCTCAGTCTCTGCTGAGCGCTTTTCTGAAGAGGGACACCTTTTTACCCAAGAAAGCAGACGGGAATGACACACAGCATCTGAACTCGAGTACTTTTTTTATTTTTTTGAACAGTTAGACGTGTTCAACTTACACGTCTAACGTTTGCCTTTAAGAACACCGCAGGAGTCGTACTTTAACTTGTTTAAACACCCAGCGTCGCTACATTGCGTTCCCCCTCTGGATTCTCGAGTGTTGCCGTAGCACGCGTGTTTGGAGTGCGCCGGCCGAAATTCTACAGGGGGGTTTCTGTCTAACGTCTTCGCGTCCCGGGCGTTTGTAGGGTGAGGAGGACTTTCAATCACCCGAGAAATGCCGCAGTTGTCAGGTGGAGGAGGCGGCGGGGACCCGGAGCTCTGTGCCACCGATGAAATGATCCCGTTCAAAGACGAGGGAGACCCGCAGAAGGAGCAGATCTTCGCGGAGATCAGCCACTCTGAGGAGGAGGGAGACTTAGCAGAGATCAAGTCATCTCTGGTCAACGAGACCGAAATCAGCCCCAACAGTAACAATCACGACGTGAGTACGCCTCAAACGCACGTGCAGGTCCTCCGGCAAACTTCATGTGTCCAGTTGTTGGGAAGTTGGGATTTGTTTTCAGAATGAAGAGTCGTGATGATATTTTAACCTCAGTTCTGTGTGTGTGTGTGTGTGTGTGTGTGTGTGTGTGTGGTTTAAATGCCAGAGCTACACGTGTTAAAGTCAACAAACTCATTTTAACCCACAGTCCTTATTTAAGTGAGAAAAAAGGACTTAAAGGGCCACGATGATCATATATATATATATATATATGTATGTATGTATGTATGTATGTATGTATGTGTGTGTGTGTTCAGGATTTTTATTTATTCAGCCAGTTATTAACATTTTTTGTTTGTTAAAAAAAAAACAGTCGTTATTTAATTGTCAAAGAAGGCACTGTTGATCAATATTTTAGTTTTTTTACTGATCAGCACAAACAAAACGGCAGCTTTTATAATGATTTTTATTTGAAATTTGTGTAAGATTATATTTATTTAGTTTATTCGACAATTCATGTTAAACGGTTATTAAAAAGAATGTAAAAATAATAGTGCAATGCTGCACCCCTACTACTAATAACGTTACATTTTGTTGTTGTTATTGTCATTTTTGACATTTGTAATAATTGTTTATTAAAGTCTGCCAGATAATGGGTGCAATATGCACATATTTTAATATTTCTGAAACCGCTTCTTATGCCTCTGATTGGTGTGTTGTGATTTCCTTTACAATTAACCACAAAACTGCAACATGCTTTTAAAAAAAATTCATTTATTGATATTCATTTTTAATATGCATTAAAAATCTGCACACCCTGTTTAAGGTGGCAACAACGCAATTTGCCTGTTATATAGGCTAAATTGCATATTTTCAATTTCACACAAAAGAAAAGTAAACAATTATTTCAATAAAACAAAATGGAAGGCTATATCCATCTGAAATTTGTGAAGCAGTTGTCAGATTTGTGTGCTGGTGTAAATTCGTTTGAGTTTATTTTTTGTGTTTCTCTGATCGTGTGCTTTTCTCCATTTCTACTTGGTCGTGTGCATCAAGTAAAATGAACTAAAGAATAATAAGATGCTTTGCTTTATTAATGAAATATATTTCCTCCTGGCATCAACAGCATGCAGGGTTACAGCTTGACATGAGAAAGAACAAACTGATGGGCTGAATGTTAATTGGGAAAGCAGTGCAGATCCCTCACTCTGCTGGAAGGCACCCAGAGGGAGCTGAACTCCAAATGGAGTTTATTTCCCGGCACTTCTGATTCATAATGCGGAGTGAACGAGAATAGTAGCGAAGCCTTTCTTTTTCATTCCTCAAGATACCGCATTTGTGGTCGGTCTCCACAGTAGATAGAGTTAATCAACGTATAAAAAAATGCAAGTTATCTTCTACTTATGGATGCCTTATCCTAAAAAATATGATAAAACATACGTTATTTTGTCAGCTTTGGTTTTAGGATTGAACCATTTTTTCTTCAACCCGGCACTTCTGATTCATAATGCGGAGTGAACGAGAATAGTAGCGAAGCCTTTCTTTTTCATTCCTCAAGATACCGCATTTGTGGTCGGTCTCCACAGTAGATAGAGTTAATCAACGTATAAAAAAATGCAAGTTATCTTCTACTTATGGATGCCTTATCCTAAAAAAATATGATAAAACATACGTTATTTTGTCAGCTTTGGTTTTAGGATTGAACCATTTTTTCTTCAGAAAGCAGGAGTGCTGGAAAAACGAAATCAATAACATTGCACGTTAGAAATTAAGTTGTTAATATCTCTCTCCTACATTTTTGAACAGGCAGCTAGACTGTCCCAAATAACACAAGACTCTTATCATGAGAAGCACATGGACCATCTGGACGATGGTAAGTCATATAGCTTGGGAAAAATGTGTAATAATATTAAATCCTTGATTTGGTGTAAATTATTATTATTTTTTTTTTTCTTAACAGCATGCTTTACAAAATCATAACATTTTCATTCACATGTTAAAACATACACTTGCAAAGAAATCCATTTATTTATATGTATTACAGTTCTAATGCATAACAGATTTAGTTTTTTCTACATATGCCTGTAATTATTTAGATTTGTTCTTTTAATTAATTGATTCTGAAGGCTTTGTGAAGGGAATTTCTCAGCCCACAGTCTGTTTGGTGTTGACACGTAATGACACGTGCCAGGGAAGTGCCCCATCTTCCTCTGACACGCTGGCCTCCAAACACACCGTCTGAGATGCTATTGTCAAGAGCAGCATGTTGCTGTGATGGCCCGGAGTTCATTTGATCTCTGTTTACACCCGGGTCTTTTTTACGCCGCGCAGGGCGCTGGGGTCACAGTGAAGTGACTTGATTGTCTTTTCCCCTTTGTTCTCTGCTTGCTGTGAATTAGGATGCAAATTTTCAGCCAAACACTTCACTGGCCTCAAAACGGCTCCCCCGTTTTAGATACCGTTAGGAACTGCTTGGTTTCCTGTTTAGCTTGCATTTCTTGCATTTTAAAAAATGTGACATTTGGTCAGGAAGTTCATTTTGATTTATTTTATTGGCACTGAATGTTTCAAGAGCCATGCATACTTTAGTTTAGTGACTGGACCACGTCAAATATTAGTTAACAAATTTCACATTTAAACTGCATTGCATTTAATTGAGAATATATGGGAAATCTTATTAATTCAAGCTGCTTTATTTTATTCTCTAACAGGCAAGCATCAAGACATGTACAGCAAAGGCCACCCGTACCCCAGTTACCCAGGATACATCATGATGACCAATATGAACAATGAATCCTACATGAACAACGGCTCTCTCTCGCCTCCCATTCCCAGAATGGTGAGTGTTATCCAGTGCTGTTCGCTCCCGAGCCCTCGCTGTCCAACATTGACATTTTTCACTTTATTTTATCTTCCCTCGTTATAGCGTGCAGCTCAGGGTTATGATGTTAGTTTCTGATTGGCAGCGTGTCTGTGTCTAATGCTGTGACCCATATCTGCTCGTACTGTCTATACTTTTTAGTGTGGCAGATTAAAAAATTGTACACTTATGCATAAATGTATAGAAGTTACAGACGTTTGCCATCTCGATTATTATATAAAACAACCGCTGATGGAAGGAGGGAGGAGTAAAAAAAAAGAAAGATGGTGGATACGCTAGCAGCTGTCCACCCTAATCCTGTTTGGTAGTTTTTGTGTGGTTAAGACTCCCTGTTTGGCAGTTGACTGGTGCCTGGAAGAGACGGCCACTGCAGGCAGTCTGTGAGTCCGATGAGAGACAGGGCTTTCTCCGCTGAGCTCATCTCATCCATTGTTTGCACAGCTCTGAATTCAGCTCCTTTATCAGTCTGCGGCTGTGCGATTATAGTTCGGTTTTCGCCGATGTGGCGACGGACGCCAAACAGAAGATGATGCTGCAGTTGACCTGTAGTTGCTCTAAGCTTTTGGGATAAATGGTTCTGACTTTAACGTTTTTATTGTTTAGTTATTTTTAAGCAGTTTTACTTAAGCATATGCATTGTTACACAACAAGATGTGGTTTAGCAGTTTGTTGGCAATTGGGTCAGCAATGTACATCTGTGGGAATCCTTTGTGATTTAAAGCCTTCGCTTGGGAGGTACAAAAAGCAGATTTTTTTTTAATACCGATGCAAAGATTTTTGCAGAGGTGTTGCAGAATCATTTGCAACTTACCCAAATTTTGCCTTTTTTCACTTGGTGTGCAATAAAATCCCAATCATGCCAGATCCATTTCCTCAACCTCCTCCGCCTGTTGTCTCTCTCTCTCCTTTGCGGTGGCTCAAATATTCGGACACAGTATCTCCAAGGTCTGGGATCAGTTTTCAGCGAGATCAAAGGCATCTTCTTTTCCCCCCTTCCTCCCCCTTCATTCCCCTGAAGTTTGGATTGATTTCCATTGGCTATGACATTCCAGTGCCTGAACTCCCTCCCAGTCATGAAGCAGGTCATTTTGTGGTGTTCAGCAGATTTTTTTTTGGGGGGGGGGGGTGGTTGTTGCTCGTGGGGGGAGGCCCCGCCGCGGGCCAGCCGCATGGGTACAATGTTCTGGATATTGGATATTGGCATCATTGTGCTTAGTGATCCATGAAAGCTTTACATGTTGCTCTAATCTGATGGACGACATCTGGAAATGGCATCCAGGGCTCCTTTGAGATGACTAACTTGGGGTCAGCAGATAATGTTTCCAGGTAAACACTGGGGCTGCATTGTCTCTGGTGCCTGTAGCTTTGAAGTTGTAATATTTTAACATTCGTATGAAATGACGAATTGGGAATTAAGACAACCTAGGCATTTCCTCCTTTTGAAATGATTTCCCTCGCGCTGGGACGTTTCATGTAGTTCCGCTTATCTCTGCCCCTTTTAATCAGTTGGAGAGAAGAATGGGGTGATGGGGTCCTGGATTTCATTGAATTGTATAATCTGTTCCCCATCCCCTCTCTTTCATTTCTTCTTCTTAAATTGGATTATTTAAAGTTCAAGCACAAAATTTCATCTCAGGAAAAGTGTTTGAGATGTTACATGTTTGCCCTGTGACCCCTAAATTAGTTTAAGATTTTTCCGAATGTGCTGATTTGAAGGCTTTTTCACACCTAACGTGTTACGAAAGAAATATCAGAAAATGAAATGAGTGGTATACTCGCATGAAAAGTAAACCAAATATTTGTTCTAGTTAAATGAAAATCAAATTTACCCAGGTACAATAGATGGCGCTTTCAATGACAACCCAACTAGTGAATTGTGTACTGCACTTTTCGGTTTTAGCATAGATTTAGTATATTTGTTTGTGAAGTTGTTGTCAGCAGATTTGACTTACTCGTCAAAGAGTACAAAATGTATCATCGGGAAACCTTGCAAAAATCATTTGTTTTATTTCAAATTTTTGTTTCTAATAAGCATATTCTCAGTTCTCAGAGAAGAGCAGTTAAAAAACTATTTGGGAAAAAGAAAAGAAAATGACTTATGGAAAATGATTAAATGCACGGAAAGTGGGTTAATTCATCATTTAAATAGACATGTTATCGTAAAGGCTGTTTTGATGGTTAGTTTGCTCTCCATATGGATGGACCTCTACTGTAATACATTTGCTGGAGCTGGAGCTGCTGGTGGTGCTGCTTCAGTCCTTGTGCCGTTTTCCTCCCCCATCCTGATTGACTTCTGGCAGTGGAGCTTGGGAAGAACCGACCCAAGATACACACTCACACTCTGCCTGCTTTGATGTGGGATGTGACGGATCTCTCAGCGTGGACATACCGTGGAATCACAAACCCCCCCAAACCCTGGCTTTACCTAAAGAGATTTCACACAGCTGGATCTTCAACTCTCGGTCTGTCCCTTTCTGCACCATTCAAAGAAACTACAATTCCCAGCAGTCCTTGTGTGTGGTTTTCGTAACAATATATAAGTAGCACATTTTTATTTTCAGTATTATTGTTATTCACATCAAAATCTGCATTTCTAAACTCACCCATATACCTCTCTGACGCTCTTTAAACACGCATCATATCGTCTTTTGATGCACCGCCCACACACATGGGTGATAAGGGGCAAACAAGTAGTCATATCATCTGCTGAGCAGGTCTGAACACCAGCGTGGCCTAGACCTCGCAGATTTCGGCAGCCCACAGGCCCTTTGAAGTGCACTGGTACAGACCCAGGGTTTTTGAACAGAGGGCCATTGATACTGTGTTTACATCGGCTGGTTACCACAGCCATATTGAATCCATGTGTCAGATGTACAAAGCAAAAAGGCTGGCAGTGTTAAGTGATTTTTGAAAGGATTGCTTCCATGGGGCATTTCACCCCCTGAAATGTTACTGTCAAACGACCCACTAAAATGTGTTAATTGAAACGTCTTTATAGTAGGAGACTCCACAAACAAATTGCTTTTGCGTGTATTCAAGTAGTGCAGTTATGTTTATTTATCTTAGCTCTGCTAGCTAGTCCCATTTGCCTAAATCTCCTGTTTTTTATGCATTTATCAGATGTGATTTACCAACAATATTTGTTATATGCAATGTCAGGTTTATTAGACAAACAATATATATGCTACAAATTATTGTTGTTATTTTTGGATAGGCTTTGAACAGGCTAGAACAATGAGCGTTATTTCTTGACCTCTTAGTGCACAGCTATTATGCAAACCAGCAGTAGCACCTGCTGATGATCCTGAGGGCACATGCAAGTGAAGTGCACCGTTGTGTTTTGTCTTTGCGCCACAGTTGTCATCACTTTTCCTGCATGTTATGTCTCCAGGCCCGGCTGTGACCTCCATCACCCTCCAGCGGCCCCTTTAAGCCCTGCTTTATTTTGACAGTAGCTGATGCTCTTGTCCCAGTCTTGGTTGTTTTTCTTTTGCACTTATTTATTGATGTTTTTTACTCCTTTTCATGTAATATATGTTGCTTCATTTTGCGTATTCTCATTCGCAGTGTCATTTGAAGCTCGTTTAGTCTCGGATGACCAAAAAATCCCCTTGTTTTTCTAATTTTACAATTGTTTGTTTGAGAAGTGACATTCGATGCGTGTCAGTAACCCTCTTCTATCAAATCACGCTAGTTATATAACTGTTGGAGATTGCGTAGTATTGGTAGTTTTTGCTCTGCAGCGGCATTTAAAAACACGACTGTCTCGTCAAACAGTCGTCATCTCAAGAGAAATCCGTCAGTGACAGTGATCGAAACTGCATTGTTTGCATGCATGCATGCATCTCTGAACTTCATTTGCACTGCTTTTTACTGATCAATAGAGGCTCTGTGCCACTAGGTTCACTTTTTCATATTTTTCTGAAGCTCATTATTTTTTTTTTGCCGGGCTGTTTGTGTGTGTGGGGGTAAAGGAGCTTCACATGCTCCGTGGATCAGACACCACTGAAATATTCATGCTCCCTGGTGTAGGAGTTTGGTAAAGGGTTTCTCTGAGTTACAGTACAAAAGATGGCTTGCCACCAGGCTTTATTAGCGAAGCTGTTTAATGGATGTATAGATGCAGCCCCTTTCTCACATGCGCTCACTCCCTCTCTTTGTGTTGCACATCAAACCGTCCCTCTGCCTCCGATTTCTCCGACTCTTTCTATTTCTCATAGTCAGTCAGCCAACTCGTGTTTGCAGTGGACGAGAGGGGAGGGCTTTGCTATCAGCTCTTTTTGTGTGGTCTTGGTCATAAAAAACACCCTGTTCTTTGAATGTGAAAAGAGCCTGTCTTTAATTTTTGGGAAACTCATAAAAGTTTGTCGCTCCTTTCATATCTGCCGCAGAATTGAAAACAAATGCTTCCTTTTTTCATCCGCCTTTGAACTGGCCAATTATGGAGTTGTGAAAATAAAAATCACCCTGTCAATCTCTCCTGCTCCCTCTCCTCCTTTTTTCTCCTTTCTTTTCCAGCTTTTTCGTTTTAACCCCACTCTCTTTGATTTCTCTTTTTCGCTCCCTTGTTTTTGTCTTTTTTTTCTGTCTTCCGTTCTCACTCGTTTGTGTCGAAGGTGTGCATGTGTGTTGGGGGGATCAGTGATGTCAAAGTCAAAACCGAGAGCATTAAGAAAACTGGCGAAATGCAATCCAGCTGCAATCCGACATGACGCTGGAAAAAGGGGGCTGTGGAGCAGAGAGCTGCGGCGTATTCCCAGGGCGCACAACTGCTCGCGGCCTTGGCTTTGATCTCTTCAAAGCCTTCTGCCTCCTACTAGATGAAGAGTCTTGGCTTCGTTTCGTGAGCGCTGGAGAGAGAGAGAGAGAGAGAGAGAGAGAGAGAGAGAAAAGGGGAGGGTGAGCGAGGGATGGTATTCAGAATTAGAGGGGGTTGTTGTGCATAGAAACGGATGAGG